AATCGTGGAATCGTAATGACAACCTTAATGAAATATGTACAACATTAATTTTTTTCCAAGCCAACAGCTGAAAAAAAAACAATTTTTTTGAATCTCTTACGATACTAAGCTTCCACTAAAAGAAAGCAGTATAAGAAAAAAATAATAATAAAAACTGACTTCTCTCTCTACAACACATTTATTTGTAAAAATAATCGAATTAGGTCAATTAAACCTTCGTTGTAAGTTACTTTTCTGACGATAGTATTATGGAATCTCGCTCTCAACCCATAAAATAATATTAGTATATTCACGACTGATAGTAACCACTGTTTTGATAAAGATGTTAGGAAAGAAACTAATCATTAAAAAGTGAGAGCCGTAATACTACAAGCCGACGAGATCTATATTAGCCCTTTGACTTTTCTCATTAAACTGAAAATATATCAAGATCGAATTTATGAGCTTTTTGTCCTGGTTATTATGATAATTGCAAACGTCATCGACATGAGTAATTTTCTCAATTTTTCAGATTTGGTTTTTGTAAATTTTTGCAATTTTAAAATTAAGTAGTGCAAAAAACCAGTTTCCAATTTCCAAAACTAGATTATAGGGATCATCCATGTAATTCTCAATTTTTCATTTGAAAAATCGTTCAAAACCCTTTGTTATAAGGAGCTCGGACTACACAGTAATTTTCAGTGAATTCTCATAATTTTTTTTTTTTTTTTTTTTTTTTCGTACGTAGCCACGGTAGAAAAGAATACGATCTCGATCAAAGTCCAAAAGAGACGCAATAAGCTCCGCAGGGACGTATATATCCACAAAGGGAGCAGCTAAATCGATTCGAACCCTTGAAACCCAAAACTCCCGCTCGGCCGCAGTGGTGTTCAAATATATATATATAGAGTGTACAGTGGAAAGTTGACTCGGGGTCGTACGTATATATAGTCGGAAACTTTGGCTCAAGAGACGAGCTACACGCGATCTCTTGCTCCAGGGGACGCACGTATACGTGTGCCAAGTCTTACTAACTCTTGTCGTCGCCGTTTCGCTTCTGATCTCTCCCTACCCCCTCGTGTTCCACTCTATACCCTTTCTACAGCTACTACTGTTGCTTAATTTGTTCTCGAGCTAAAGGGGGATGAGGATTGAGGCTATTGATCATTCACATGGATATTTACACGTTATAATTACGTGCTGATTGCTCGTCCCGCGACGAGACATTTAGTTTATGAAATCAATTTGAATAGCATATCTGTATAGGCCTGCTCCGAGCTGTACACCCAACCCACAAGGTATTGGCAAAGGGTATACGTATATACATTAAAATACACCCACAGTCATTACCAATGGTATAGTAGTGGTAGTAGCAGTGGAGTGATTTTTTCGTTAACGAAAACAAAGGGACGAGCAATGTTTTAGCTCTGGCTTTTGTACGACGAGCTGGTGATGCACCGCGCAGCCAGCAGCGCACAAGCGATGATGATGATGATGATGATCGAGCTGCACAATGGGCGAGCGAGCGTATACAAGGGGAGGGGGTATATACCTGCTACTGTTTGCTGCAGCCGAGAGAGAGAGTGTGGGGGGGGGAGGGGTAACGGGCGTCAAAAGCGCAGACCGAAAAGAGAGCCGTACGTATATAGCGACGGAAAAGTTGGAGCAATAATAACTCGGCTTATAGAATTGAAGAGTACCTCGGCTGTGCGCCCATCGCGCGGTAGCTCGTACACGTATACACGTGTATAGGTGTGCCAAGGGGTGTATCTCACTCTGTGTGTGCGTGTACAGAAAAAGGGGAATGGTGATGAGGGGTGGGGGGTGGCACCGACGAGCTAGAGAGCGAGAGAAAGATATGGGGAAAAGATAGCACGGAGAGAGAGGATGGGCGCGTTGAAAAGGCTGCGGAGCGCGTCTATATATATGTATATACAGCGGCCGAATATGCCTCGACGTTGTACCTACCTATATATGGATAAAGAAGAGAGACAGGGTGGGGGG